CAAAAAAATCCTATATTTCCGTCACGTATTTTATCTGTTTGATTATTATCAGGCAATTTACGAGAATTTGGTAGTACTGCCCCTAAAAGAACTAACAAACGATTTTAAGTACTTATAAAGAAAATTAACTTTTAAATCTGTTTAAATTATAATTGTAAACTTACTTGTATATGTCAGTGATCTTCTTTTTATCTATCTTCTCCCGTTTCAGACGCTCCCTCTCTTGTATCCTCTCCTTCTGCTTCCTTCTTGCTTTGTGGTCCTTCTTTTTATTCTTGACAGGAGGGTTGATGGCTTTGTACTCGTTGTCTGACTCCTCGGAGGGTGCGGAGGGTGTGGTCGGTGCGAGTGCAGGGTTGTGAGGCTGCGGTAACCCTTCACTCATCTCCTCACGCCATTGGTTCTAGAAAAATACATTTTTATTCCAATAACATAGCTATCCAAAAGAAAATTACTCAAACAGACATATTTACATTGATTCAAAAATCAGAAACTTTTCAAAATAAATCCATAGACAATAGAATCAAAGTAATTAAGTACTAAGAAAGAATTAAATGTACAGAAACAGACCAAAATCTTTATTGAAAAGGATCTCAATTTTTAACCCAAAAGAATTCTCTAATATTGTGTACTTTTAAGGTAATTCTTTGACCAACTTCCCAAAACAAGGAGGCAATTCGTCTGTATTTTTTATGTATAATAAATTCATTAATAACCAATTTTTAACTGTTACAAAGTAGGTTTCATACCGTTAAGATTTTTACAGATACCAAGAGTGAGAATTTAAAAACATAGACTATATCACCTCCTTTTCATGCGGCGTGACTCTACTGAACATGTTGGTGGTGACACGCTTCAGATGCGCCTCCTGCTTCATCAGCTTCCGCTCGTGCTGCACCACCTCCTGCAGCAGCTGCTGGTGCTCCTGATACACAGACAGTCTTTTACACTTTTGTATATTTGTTTATTGTTTAATTCTGTGAGGAATGAGATGCAAGGTGAGTTGAGGGTCCGTTTTCTTTATCTGTTAATTAAATAAAAGCATGCAAGAGCGTTGCTGGCTCAGGGACTTACACTTGCAATTTCCCCTTTTCCTTAACACTCTTTTCTTAAGAGGTCTTTCCTCTCCTGAGAAGGAAAAGCGGATATGGCGGAGGAGACATAGGAAGAGGAAATATCCTCTTTATGTGCGTCTCCTCTTCCGTCGATTAAGGGTAGACGATGCAATTGCAATTGCGGATGTACATACATCATACTGCATACTCATAAAAAGCGGTCGCTTCGCCATTTTAGCGCATTCAGGTGGCCCTTTGCTCGTTTGCCACCTTATAATGTAAAAAAACGGTCTCGGTTGGTTTGAATCCTGCCATCATAATTTACCAGACATTCTTATGGTGAAGGAAAACGTGATGCATGCACATATCCGTGGAGAAATTCAAAGATATGTGTGAAGTCAATCTGCAGTTGGCCAGCGTGGTTTATTATCCTAGTCACTCCTAACTTTAGTGGTCATATCGCTATTATGGCGAATTGTGGCTTGTTTATCATTACACTATATATTACCTGATATGAAGGGTTGTAGCTGACACCGGGGTGAGGTTTGTCGACAGCGGGCCGAGTGACTAATGTCTTGGGGGGCGGAGGCTTCGCGCGCAGACGCTGCTCCGGCAGCACATTGTGCAGCTGTGCCTCCGTTGATATAAAGTCTTCACATAAAGTGGACGGAATACCTTTTACCTCCGGCACTATGTAAAAAAAGATATAAAATTTGACAATAATTGAACGGAATTACTATTATTACATAGATTATGCCTAAACACACAAAAAAAGAACAAATATAACAAAGTCTTGCTTTCTTTATCCACATAAACCATGTAGGCCAATGATACTTAATATTATAAATGTGAAAGTTTAGATGGATGGATATTTGTTATAGTTTATAGCGTTAACGGCTGATGGGATTTCCATAAAATTTGATATAGATGTAGTGTATAGTCTGGAAGAACATATAGGCTACTCACCTTCCTTTTTTTATCTCATTTGGATTCTCGAGTGAAATCTAGTTCAAAATAATTAAAACTATTTTATACAACTTTGGTTGTTTATAAATATCTTGGTAGACCAAGGTCATCACACACATTATTCCATACTCCCTCAATCTAAAATTGTGTCACTATTTTTTTTTTAAGTTTTTTAAGCTAGTGCTAAAATTTGATTATGTATTATTTGTTGTATTTGATGTATTTACTATAAAGATACTTACAATCCTCACCCCATAAGTTTTTATCAAATATTTTTCTTATATCTTTAATTCTTCTCTTCTTATCTCTAACAATTCTTCTATTCTTACGAGCTAGTTCTACCTTCTTCAAATAAGCTCCCTTTTCAAACTGTTTCTTTAGTGATAGTTTACTCAAAGCTGTAGGTTTGGTCCCCGCTGGATTGACATGGTTACGTTTGGCATTTGGATCTTGGACCTATGACGAAATTAATTTCTTAAATATTGTTTTACTTAAAAAAACTTTGATTATATGATGCAACTGATTGTACTACTAGCAATTTACTTAGTAATAAAAGTTATTTATCTATACATGTTAAAATGTCTTATAACACTTTGTAAAATAGTTCACAACCATGATGTATTTTTGTTGCTTATAAAACAAAAATTTTTGTCTATTTCTGTCCACCACATTGCATTTGTTCTGTTATCTTTGAATGGTTGAGCTGATTTTGTTGGATCTTGGATAGGAAGGTAATTGATGCTTGGTATTCTTTTTTTATTATAAGGTGGCAATCGAGCAAACGGCCACTGGAATCCACCGAAATGGAAAGCGACCGCTGCACATAAACATTTGCAATTGCAGATGCATTGCCTACCCTTAATTGACGGAGGAGGAGACGTACATACAGAGGACATTTCCCCTTTCGCCTCCGCATCTCCTCCACCGTCAAATCCACTTTTTCCTTCCTATCCATATAAACTACTTTTATACTTTGCTGAAAAAATTGCATGCAACCTCAAAATAAAATTTACAGTATATACTAGTATTTCTGAGTAAATAACGAGTATTTTGCCTATTAAACATATGTCCAAATAAGTCTACTCATAAGATATTTTAGGGTAAATTAACCTTAGAATTTGGAAGTAAGATTTCATAACATTTTGGTGTCTGTGTGAGGAGGGCTCTCTTCTTCTGCTTCAATGTCAGCGGCTTCACATCCACCACTTCAGGCTTCTCATCACCCACAGTGTCCACCACAAACAATTCAGAGTCAGTTTTAGCTTCAAATTTACTGGAATAAAAAAGTCATATTCTCGAATCTGGTATTACTGCGTGTACTAGTTAAATTATCTGGATGAAATTTTATGATATTAGTATTGTATGCTAAAATTCCCTGTATTTATAAACAGATGCACAGCATTGATTTTCATACATTCAAAATACTTTAAATAAATCAGCGACCCTGTCTAAAAAGGTTTATCAAGTTTGTTGAGTTCTTGGATCTAATTAATTTTATGGTTTTTTTCAGAATTGTTTTTTTTTTCTTTGTCGACAAACAATATAACCTAAATAGATAAACATAACCTTACCCAAGCCTTTCCTCTAAACGTTGATCTTCTAAAAAGTCCTCAACGTCCTTGATGTCACAGTGCTTACGCCACGCCTTCTTATTCTTCTTCGAGACATGCTTCTTCTTTTTTATTACAGACATTTTTGTAAAGTATTGTTGTGAACTTACTCAGACCATGCCAGACGTACACACGTCAAAGTTAAAAAGACTTGCTAATGCTAACGTCAGTATGACATTAGTCAATAGGTGTTATGTCAATGTCAAATATAAGCAACAGCTTTCGACATTCTGCCACAACTCTTAATTATTTATTTTTGTGATTATTTCTATAACGTTATTTTTTCATTGTTAAGTTTTTCTAATAATGGGCTTTAAAATAATTCAAATAAATGGTAATTATGTACAAAAATAAAATCACACAGTTATCAAAACATTTACTTAAAAATATACAACAAAATTAATGGCATTACACAGGCGGTAAAATAAGTTCTCATTTTTCATCGCAGTCTTCCTCTTCGTCTTCTTCTTCCTCTTCCTCCGCCTCCGCCTCCGCTGCCTCCTCATTAATCAATTCTGGAAAGTAAACTTTCTTCACAGGGTATGTTTGTGTTACTGTGTAAACGCAACTGGTCTATTAGCTATTTAGTATTGTATGTTAGTAAATTAGTTTGTTAACATTCAAATCTACAAAAATACGGTGTTTTGCTACGGTTTTCGACCATGTCTTAAAGTTCTCAAAATGCCAATTACGGTTTTAAAAAAGATTTAAAGTTAACTGACTTCCTATTTTACCAAACTTGATGTCTTCCTTAATGAAAAGTAGTAGGATTGGTTGCAAAACACAAAAATGTTCATCAATTAGAAATTAAATAATTTATTCATAATTATCTTTGTTACTACTCGCATAATTATCATTTAAAATCTTAATTACTTTCTTTGGTTTGAACGTTACTTAGGTATAAAGTAAGTAGTTACGATTTCCTGTAAGAATTAAAAGGCTTTAATCTTTGTAATTCCGAATTTGTATCTAATAATTTAACGTACGTTGATATCGGTAATTTCGTTAGTAACGGGTACGATTTAAATTCAACGAACTTAGATGGCAGAACGTGAAAGTTTAAAGTATTGTTTAAATTTGTTTGTTTTAGTTTAGATGAAGAAATATCAAGAGTTATAGGTTTCTGTGTTTTAGGTGTTTGTGCCGTTTCTTTTTTATGCCATTTAGCTTGATACAAAGGTAGATAAATTGGTTTTTCGCTGGCAGGTTCTGATTGAAGCTCCAATGATGCTGACGTCTCTGAAATAGAAAGCACTCGCTTAACGAATCGTGTTGATTCGTACATTGGCGAGGACACACCTTCAACTCCTCTGTTTAATTCTTTTTATGTTTATACAGTGAACGAAAACTAGAAGAACATTTTAAAGATTGCATGCACAGCGTATTTGCGATTTAGTTTAGTATTGCGGTTGGAATTTCAGAAGAGGCAGAACATAGATGAGTGCAAACTGCAAACATTTTATTCGAGCTATTTGTGTAATCACATTTTTGTCCTTTCTATGTTTTATTCCTATTTGCCGTTTCTATATGTCCTATCACACATGAGATGGCTACTATTCGAGCTTAACTCCATCAAGAATCGTTGTAATGTTAGATTGCTTTATGCATACTTGCGTAGTAACTCGTTGCCACCGTGTATTTGTGCTTTATTTTGTGTTTCATTTATTTAGTGTTGTGATAAAGTATCAAGTAAGTGCTGGTTAACTACAATGTGGAGAAGTCTTCTATTTAATACAGAGAAATTGTCTGATAAATTGCATTGCCTAGCTGTAGTCAGACACAATCATTAATTTGGTGAGGAGGTTAGTCAAGTCAATTTAAGTGGGATGTCAAATGAGTCGTCGGTCACAAGTCGCAGTCAAAATCAGTCACGTTTAAACAAAACAAAAGAAGTGTAAAAACAATAACAATTTTATTTCAAAAATAATTATTCCTTTTTACTGTTTACTGAACACACTCGATTATGTGACATCACACTTAATCTTGCCAGTTAGTTGTATTTCCTTAATTCGTTCTTTTCCAAACTTTTTTTCTTGTATAAAAATGGAAAACGTTAATAAATCGTAATAAATATTAGTTTGTATCGTAAATCAAGAACTTAAGAAACATTTTCTATTCTAGCAACACTAAAAAAATCTTATTTACAATTTGTGAAAAACTTAAAAGTAATAGCCAGTATTATAATTGACGTAAAATTGTTGTAAAAGTAAAAAATCGAAATGTAATTATTTTAATTAAGTTAATATTCCCCATTCAATTATAATACTAACCTTAGAATTTATATTTGATATTTAGGAGTATTGTATTTATTTTTCGGTAAATTACTCGATTCTGGCAACTCTAAAACAATTGTCATATTGAGTAGTAAAGCGTACGTTTTTATTTACTCTATGACCGAAACATCGATTATTTTAAACATCGATATTGTTTAACAAAATTAATCACAATAAATTATTTAATATTTGAAATTGTTACAGAAATAATGTTTAAAAATGAACACAATACGCTAAATGTCAAATATGTTTTACCTAAAAGGTGTTAGCTACTGGTGCTGGTAGTCGGACTGGTAGTATTCTTGTTCAGGCTTGGC